AGGGAGACACCCTGGCCCAATGATGGGTAGACTGGTTTACTTTCCTTCTTCCAGGGGGACGAACTGGGAGGCCTCCCCATTGTTGTTTTAATACAGAACCACATGTCATCCTGAAAAGACTCGAAGAAGATGGTTTCAATGAGCGCGTCTTGGCGAATCTTTGCGGAATGGAGATAAAGGGAGAGTAGTATTAGGGTAATGTGAGCTTGATTGAGGGTTGGTGATGTGGGGAGGAACTTCTAGGTCGACCCAGGTCCACATCGTTCTTGTTCCAGCAAACCAACACATAAACCAACAGAAACCGAGCAGCAACAACAACAAACCTGAGGGTTGGACGATCGCCTCCCTGGTCCTTTTTGAGCTTCGTTTTTTGCAGGGTGGACAGCTTAAGGCCGGCACGCCCGCGCTGTCTTCGCTGCGATCGATGCGCGTGGAGCACAGGAATGAGTGTGTGGTTCATGCGACGAATGAAAGATTTCACTGGCCCTGGTTCCCTGGAACAGTTCCAGCTTTCAGTTCCAAGCAAAAACTATAGGTATAGCCCCACTAGGTACCGAGCTCTTCCGGTGTCCCGTATAGCGGCGAATTGTACGGGGAGGGGGTGCCATAGGATCGGGCTTTTTCTTTGCTATGCCTCAGTTTGTCAGATCTCAATCCCGAAACAAAGCCTGAAATCTCTTGAAGACAGCAAGACTTTGTGGAACCCCCCATTAAATCATCCATTCATTCATGCTCGACAGGAATGAGTGATTTTTGTTTATGTACCATGCCAGTGTGAAAAGAATCCAGAGCTGAGTACTGAGTCTCGGAATCTCGGATTATTTTTTGGGGATTGCTGTAATGTTCGATGTTAGGATTCGGGCCATAATTCTGTATAATATAGCAGTGTATAACTGTTGTTAGTTGTTAAGTTTAGAACTTAATCCAGCCATCAGATTTGGTGGTTGAGAGTACTGTGGATCAATTTTGAGTCGTGGAGATAATGGAATATGAATCATGAGGTGATGCAGAATGTGCCTTGAATGTGCACCCTCCTTGGAGTACTTCCTGATATATTCTGAGACTGCTCAAATGAATGCTTGATATGGCCAATGGCACAAGAAACAAAACTAAAAGCTAAAAGAACGCCTTAACAAAACCATCAGTGCCTAGAATTAATCAACATGTTTGCAAGTGCTTTGTGCTCAGAAATGTCAGAGCGATGTAGAATACTTGGGGGTCCCTCGATTAAGTTCGCCCCCTCCTCCTCCTACCTTGGAATTTTAATCTAGACTTATTTTCCTCCAGATTAATTGTTATAGAGGTAGTCTGATTCATTGTTTAAATATGTTTAAGTTTAAACTAATTCAGGGGTACCTCGGACTACTTCTCCATCGTGGAAGGGTACATGTGTTCTTTTTTGTGTGTGTTTAACGTGTTTTGACATGTTTTGACTAATTGTGTGAATGATGCGGTGAAGCTGGCAACGAGAGACCATGCTTTCAAGCATGGATACTGAAAGCATGTCCACCAGTTGCCAAAGGAAGGGGTGTTCACACAAACAGGAAGGGGTGTCTTGTGAACAGGGGTGATCCGGCTGATCTGTTCGTTGTCATTCGTGGACGGTGGACCTCTTTCACTTGTTGGGAAGGTTCGAACGAACGGTTTTTCCACGGTTCGACCCATCGACTTTGGTGAGTTTGGGATACCAAGTCGGCCCAAGTCGGTACTTTTTGGGTTGCCGTCGTCGTCGCAGGTGCAAGCTTTCTGCAATGGAGCAAACCTTGAGGGAAACAGATCGCAGCAAGAAGCACGTGGATTACTAAGTGGATCGCAGCATGTGTCTCCCTTGTCAGACTCTCCAACCATGCATCCTTTTTGGGAAACAACAGCGCTCCAACGTTCGGACGTACCCAACCATTTCCTTCTCCATGTATTTTTGCTGTTGATGCTCGTAGCTTCGCTCCTTTCGCTGCGTGACACGCCGGCATTTTTTAAGCTATTGGTCATTTCTGTGCACCCACCACACGACTCAGCACAGGAAGGGCGTTCAGGCAAGTGCCTGAGCAGCACATGCCGGTGCACGAAGACACAGCTTCTGCCTGGACATGGCCAGTTGTCACAGTCTCAATCAAAACCATTGGAACAGCAAGTGTAGTCTGCGGAACATAGCAGAACCCTCGAAACCCAAAGACCAAAAGGAGATGGATGACCAAATGGTTTGATGGGATCTGTTACACAAGGAGTTCTCTCGGAGATCACGAACTGAAATGGTATTTGAGTGTGGTTTCAATGACTTTGCATTTGGAAGCTGTGGGGATTCGAAACGAATCATGGTGCGAAGCCAAAAGAGTGCATGGGGTTATCCAAAAAGCACATTCCATTGATCATGAATGCTTTTTGTCATCCTCAGCCTGTAGCTAGCTTGGATAGCAATCCCATGCATGTTGACTTAAGGCATAGCCACTGGTATGAGCAACGCCTGGGTTGCTTGACCCGTCTTAGATGGTCTACAACTGCGCAGAATCTGCGCGACAGCAGCCAAGGACCAAAGGAGTGTGGGGAGTGAGCACAGATTATATAGTACGCTGTTGCCCTTTGAAAACAGAAGGTGTATTGGTCATAACTGCGTCCTCGGATATTAATCGACCAAATTCTACCATGCATGACTACCACGCATGGTTTCGGGGAAGTTGGTTTAGCCATCCAATGTGTTAAATCCAGACTTACTTCAAAGCCAAGTCGCATGGGAGCCATCAGGGCTGCCATGTACATTCATCTAGAGGTACACAACAATGTCCGCTGGGTGCATTTCATTTCCGATATTATATATATTATTTTGTGACTGTATAGATCGATTTATTACAAACCCCCGCCGTTGGAACAATCCGAGACATGGCACCAATCACAAACCGCTTTTCAATCATGAGCAGTACCCCCACGCCTGAAAATTAGCCTCCACAGTTGAAAAACTTCCGGACCTTCGCCGGATTGAAAGCACTCAAAACAGCAGGATGGGTCAACATCCCCCTAGGCATTTAAGTGAAAGTAGGTCGTCACCACCCTCAGGTTCCAGGTGCACATGCGAGAACTGAGGACCCAAATATGGAAGCGGAAGAGGATCCAGGATGACTGTCATGCCAGAAGTTCCCCTTCGGTGTTCATTCGACGCCATGAACCATAGGTCCATATAACAATAGCAGGTGTGGTGCAAGTGCGTTGTTTCCCCACTCGAATGGCCTTGGCATTTTGGGCTTACTGACGTTTCCATACTTGTCCCATGTCCGTCACAGAAGAACCTTCAATCAATCATGAAAATAATCATGTTTTTCAATATAAGCCAGCATCATCCCTCATGTCGGGTTTTCCTCGGTCACCAGCTCAATGATGGTCACTCCTCATGCCCCTTGACCTACTTCCCAAGCCCGGGCTTGGGGTACAGGCGCTTGGGATGGACCAGAAAAAAGAAAGGGAACGACGCAAGTTCCACGCGGAGCCCTGGCGATGCGTTCGCGAGGCCATCATTTTGAGCATGTTCGCACTGGAGTTGCACCAACAAGCGACCAACACCAACTCGCGTGGTCCGAGTGATTTGGAGCTGGACTCGTCCATTCAGCTCTGACTTGAGAACATACGGTCACCAGCTCTGAAAGAATGAATTGCATGTTCCAAATGATGCGCACCGATGATGGAGGTTTTGGGATGGGAAGCATCATGACGACCTCAGTGATCGCCTGCCGGGCCCGTTGCGGGATGGCGACCGACCCAGCCTTGAGACCGACCCACTGACCACGTCGGGGAATGGCAACTCGACTGGGTATCCGTACGACTCGGTCCAACCGCTGTGAGAGGTGCGGTCTTTGCCAGCCGCTCTCTCCACAGTCTAATTATATTTGTCATAGAATGATGTCTCATTTTAGTCATGTTTAGTATATCTATTGGCAGACGGGAGTTTTCACGTGAGAAGGATTTGTCAATGACTTGCTGCCCACTCTAGACTGATTTGGATTTCTAGAATGGCGTTTTCTTGGCTTTGGGGTCAGGTCTTTGAGGTTTGCCATTTGATAAGAAGGACGGAGAGTTTGTGCTGGAGGTTGGCTTGGCACAAGCCTTGCATGAAAGGGTTTGTATACAGCAGGGTTTGAGTTCCAAGAGTCTTCCAGCTGCAGCATCCTCGCCTTTGGGTATGTTCCTTTTGGCCCGAGCGTTTTTGCACAAGTTGACATCACAAGAAAGCCGAGAAGCACCAGCTAAACAGCTCCAAACACCCGTTCTGGACATGCTCTTGATTGCGCAGTCGCTGTACGACAGCAGTGCATAGAAGATTGACACACATGCACCCAAACCAACAGAGATTGAAGAAACCTATAATAGACTATCCCATTGGTACCCCAGTAGGAACTGGACACACACTCTCCCTATGGACTTCCCCATATAGATTAGACTATCACTATCACTATCTCTTGGAAGGTTTGGGGAGTTTCGATTGAACACACGCGAATCGCCAAGGATCAGCGTGGAAAGACTTAGGACTGTCCACTGTGGGGAGTTGAAAACGATTGAACAAAATCATCGGATATCATAGGGTGAACATGCTTAAACTGTGTCACCACAACATATCGAATTATACACACGTAACATATATATATATATTATATATAAGTGTTGTGTTATTTTGAATATGTTGGATCATTGCGATAGAATTGGAACTTCCATTTACGCAACGCACTGTCATTTGGATATGCTGGTATTTTGCCTTTTGCCTGAAAAGACACCACTCCAGTTTGTTTAGTCAACTAAGGATATCCAGTTTGGTCATGGATCTCACTGTCTATGGCTTCCCCCAAGTCCAAGTGAGTGTGACGAATCACACCATTTCAAGGGGCCATCAGACTATTGCACCGTGTTTCTTTTGGATCCCTTGTGTACCTCCCACTGGTCAACAGCTCTGTGGAAGCATGGTAGGAATACGGAATACCACGAAAGCCATGTTGGTGTTCTTTTTCAGCCAGTGCATTTCTCAGTTCGCAGTTCCGATTGGAAGCATTCGACCGGACCGCCATGTTCGCACCAAATGGCCAGCTCGCGACCGTACACCGCGCGCGGACCGCGTGGGCGCTGGGACTGGGCAGAGCACCGCTCCTCACGGGAGCACCGCGAGCACCCTTCGAGCCCAGGTGGCGGCGATGGGGTGTGGTTGCGGAGTCGCTGCACTACTTTGGATACACCAAAATCCATCCAAATCCGGACGTTTCATGAATGTTTATGAATATTCCCCGCGTGTGGATTGAAGAACCTCTTCATGTGGGTGGGTTTTGCAAATATCAAGAAGATATGCTGTGCTCCAATAGCCAAATGCTCTTGAATGAGTGTATGATAATGGCGAGACCATCGGCCCAAGTCGAGCCAGCAAAAATACATATACCGTAAAAAGTAGAAAGGAGTTGTTTACATACACTTTGTGCCATAGTCGCCAAGTATGTAGATAGTATGTCAGCAGCTGTGACGTTCAATGAATTACTGCCCATGATGCTTGCGGACACTCCAGAGTTTTCCATGGAGCAGACAAGAACATGTTTTCCCTCTCTTGCAGCAAGACAGATATGTCATCACACACTTTCCGGTACATTCTGCTATGTCTGTCTCCGATGGTCAGGCCGCGCCCCTTCCTGGGCCGTTGGTTTCGTGCGGCGTCCTTGGCTCCCTGTGTTGTCCTCCGAAAGAAGCTCTCGCTTTGGAGCGATGGACCTTCTGGGAACACCGCTCTGGCGCCCAAGTCGCGAGGACTCCCCAAGGGTCGCCGAAGTCACCGGCGCTTGCACTCCACAGCGAAGCTGCCTGCCATGAGCAAAGATGGGGGATCGCAGGAGGAGTTTGAGGAATATTGGAAATGGTTCAAAGAGCCAAGGCAGGTCGGAGAATGGATTGAGACGCTTGGTTGAATTTGGCCACACGGGTGGTACTCCAAATAACATCAAAAAACATGTTGTTTTGATTTGCATTGATCCCGATGTTGGGGTAGTCTCATTGTATCGTGCCCGTTCGAAAGCACCGTTCGAGTTAGGGGAGCCAGTATGTTTCAGTACGCACCTTTTACTAGATTCTTTGGATGATCTTCTTGAACTCGACGCTGGAGGAGGAGGTCACATCCTCAAGTGAACCTGCTGCCCTACTGGTATCACTCCCTCTCCGACGAGACCGTCTTCGAGGCTCCAAGCACGGAGGAGGCCAAAGTACTGGAGCCCTTGGAGCCGTTGGAGCTTCAAGGCTGGACGCAAAGCCACCCAAAGGGGAGACATGTGACACTGTGTGAAAGTGTTTGATTTGTTTGAGACCCAGTTAGGGAGAAAAATATGGATATACTATGATATACTCATGTTTAGAATCCTTTATCCCTAGGGCTCCAGTCGTACCTTCTGAGGTTCGGTGGGACTGGGGTGGGTTTGGAGGCTTCAAATACCTTCTAAGGAGGTACGACTGGAGCCCTAGGGAGACCCACCGGAATCGGAACCTCTCCCCCCTCCGCGAGTCCAACTGGGCGATTCTCCCCTGCAAAGAGCGTCGTTTTCGGCGTGCGGGCGGAGAGCATAGCGTTTTGGTTCACTCAGCCTTTCACTCAGAACTGGAGGAAAGACTGCACCTTCAAGACCGGTAGGTGTAAATGTACTCCAATGAGGCCCACTTGGCCCTCCCTTTCCATATGGCCATCCATCCACCTCGTGCCCACGGCACCTCTGCGAGCCAAAGGTCCCATTGCCTCTCTCTCGGTGCCGGAGCTCCGCAGCAAGTTGCAGGATCCGGAGGAGCTCCAACGGTTGGAGTTCACGGACGCCCTCCTGGCGCGGCGCGCCGTCTGGGAGTATGAGACCTTCATCCCCAGGGTCGACCGACGACTTGGGGTGAACAATAACTTTTTTACAGGTCCAGGAGAGAACTTGTGATTGTTTTTGCCTCGAATACTTCACTGTGAATAGGGCCCCCTTCAGAAAATGTCCTGTGGCGGTTGAGACACGTCACTAGATAGCGGGACTTGTGGTGGACACAGTCCGACAGCGAAGAATTGTTGAGACAGGCCGATCCTTGTGAGACATGAGTTTTGAGCACTGGGATTTTGAGCACGGGTGTCATAGGACATAGGATTTTAAAAGAGTTGACGTGCCGCATCTTCACACGAAGTGTTTCCGGGTTCCTTGCTCTATTGGTGAAACAGCCGGGAGAGTGGTTCCTTGCTCTAACCGTCGTGGTTTGAGTAAACACAAGTGAATTCCAGCCCACCGAAGGTTCTATCTTGGCACGACTTCCAGTACAACACCTTCTGGTTTTTCATCAAGGAGCGTGGCTCCAAGGACCGCCGCGAGGAGAAGCGCGGCTACTTTGGACCAGGGGCAGATGACAGCAAGATGTTTGCCCATGAGGGTTTCTTCATGGAGGTGGCGCACTTGGCCAGCCAGCGATTGGAACGAATACACCCCATCAACTTGGTGTATTTGTTGTGGACCTTCACCCGGGCAGGGGTGCAAGCGCATGACTTCTTTAACAAGGCTGCGGATCATTTTTGCAACGGCCTCCTTCCGTCCTTGGACCCTTCCGTCCGCACTTAGGCGGATTCGTTTCGCTTCGATTCGGAGTGATTTCAAGCGGAACATGTTTACCTTGTAACTTGGGAGAAGAAAGCCCTGCTGCCTAGGCATTTGCTGCACAAACCTTTGCTTTGAGTCACAGATGAAAGTTAACAACAACCACAAGCTCTAAGTTGTTCCACAGTGTCTTAGGGAGTCTTATATCACTAGTATACATTTCTAGTGGGACATTTACATGTCTATTTGATCTATTTGGTGATCACTGGGCCCGGACCAAAACATCACCCAGCCGATCTCAACGACACTCAGGACCGATGCGGGTCACCTGGACAGATCGCATCGGGGCTCCGGGGGGCAAAAACGGTCAGTTGCGCCAGCGAGACTGAAGACGTGCTTTATCATCTTTATCGTGTGTCGTTTTGGTCTTATCGCAAATCGAATTGGCCCCTCCGGCGATACTGAAGACTCTAGTGGAATGCCAAGCAGAGCGCTGTTCACTCTTATGCGTGTTTCTTTCAGATTTCAGAAGTTCATTGTAGTCCCAGTCCATCGGTTGACACATTGACCTGTACGAGAGGACTCCTTCTTTTGGATGTGCGTATCCAAGAAACTATGTAAGATTCTGAGGACGCTCAGACGCGCTCCTACTTATATGTTCAGGTTTTGGGAAACCTATCAACCACGCATCGGTGGACGCAAGGAAACAAGAGATGTGGAGGCCATCGCATGCGATTGGTTGGAGGCCAATGCTACCAGGGTTCAGGTCTCTACGTTTTGAACCACAGCCATGTGACCGTTGGTTTTCCGAAGCCTAAGGCTTTGCACCTTGGTCTGGTGCTTCTCTCGGCAGCGGCTTCGGCACCAGCGCCTCTTCGAGAAGGCCGCCGTGGAGTTGCAGCGGACGCTGCGGGTTCGGTCGCTGGCACCGCGGAATTTCCAAAACACCATGATCGCCTACCGCCACTGGGAGGAGTGAAGGATGGACGGACGGACGGATGGATGGATGGATGGACGGACGGACGGATGGATGGACGGATGGATATCGGGAAGATGTGGAGGCAAAAAGTGAGCGAAAACCTTGACTCCAGGTGAATCCCTACTGTATCAGTCCTACAATAGTCAAGAGAAGCACCTACATCAACATCCTACTATGGCACATCCGGCGGACTGACGGACATCAACCCCTATGGATCCACATACCCTCTGAGAGGGTGAGCAGGGAGACCCTATTGGATGGGCCAAGTGAGGATCCAGTCGTACCTTCAGTACGTGGGTCCGTGATCCCTGTGCCAAACCATTGTGATCAACTGCTGTTCCTTGTGCCCTTGGTTGGCCAGCTACCTCGGCTGGCTGAGACTGTCCAGCCTGGTGTCACGAAGGGAGCGATCTCGGAAGAAGAAACCGAACGGGGCGACCCTGGCCGTACTACGAACGGAGCAAGGGCATCGCTGCTAGGGGGCCGGTCTTCAGGTCGTCCAGCTGCAGATGTTGGGAACCTTACTTCGCCAGTTCCAGAGAACTAGCTGCCACAAGGCTTCCTATGCAAGAGGAAGGCCCTGGTTTAGAGGGATTGTAAGGAGCATTGAAATGGTGCCGGTCTGAACATCTCATGACAACTATCGACCCCACAGCGGTTTAATGTTTCATGTTCCTCAACATCCCCTCGTGTTTTCAAGGGTGATGTTTTCCACGCATTTACTCAACCAATCCAGTCGAGTCTTGCCACGATGTTCACCAAAAGCTTTTCCCACCTTGGCTGCAAAGAGTTTTTGAGGCCAGGACTCACTGGATCTCACATCCATCCCCATCTCAGCATCTCACCCAGGCTGGTTTGGTCGCGGACACCACGAGGCCGTGGACGCCTTGCCGCCCACGCTGGCGCAGTGGCTGCCGCGCTTGCTGGATGGCCATGATGAGCGTACGCCCAAGCTGAGGCAGAAGCCCTTTTTCACCCACTGGGACCTCGTCGGATCATCTACTGAAGGACCACCTGGGGTTAACCTCTCCACTTCTTAAGCATGAACTTCCCCTAGAGAAAATTGGGTTGATTAGTTGGTCAGTCTCCGGTTGCCTATGCCTTCTTCAAAGTTTAGCTGAGGAGAATCCCGTTTTTCCACTGAAAGTTCAGAGGTCGACCTGGACTGAAAGGACTATAAAGGACCCGCTTGGAATCTGTAGTTATTTTGAGGTTTGACCCGTCCATCGGGGATCGGTCGGATGGGTCAAACACCATTTTGCTCAACCGGAGGTGGTGGTAAAGGAATCACATGTGAGAGTGTTGGCTTGCAAATGAGAGGATGTGACCCCAAAACCACTGAAACACGGGACCCGACGGTCCTTTGATGGCAAGGAGGTCCTTGATTTGGGGCAGTTTCAGACGACTGTCTTGCTGGACATGGTGGACAGTTGGAGAAAAATAATGAAAGAAACAACGACATATATGGTTGTCGATCTAAAGGTCCTAGTCAGCAGTGTGTATGACGATGACCCGGAACATATCAAAATCTCATTTGGCGAAAGTTTCTTCTCGAGTTGGCGAGAGTATTTTTTTTTTGGCGAAAGATCTGGCGAAAGATTAAATATGTACTTTTGTATGAATGTTCATTTGCTTTCTGAACAGCTGGTGGCAGTGACTCAGAAGCTAGATGAGCTGTGGAAGTTAGATAACCTGCTGCTGCTGCGGCTGCTACTACTACTACTACTACGACTACCACTACCACTACCACTACCACTACGACTAGTACTACTACTACTACTACTTCTACTTCTTCTACTCACTACTACTACTATTCCTGCTCCTGCTTTGGGGGGTGGCTTTGCCACAAAACTCTACCCCGCAAAAGGCGAAAGTTTGGCGAAAGTTCAGCTCAAGATTGGCGAAAGTTCACCCTGCCACATCTGACCCCCAGCCCATTATGAGTAAGTTTGAGTGACCGGCTACTACAGTGATTCTTGCAATTTTGATTCTTGCTGACACCCAGGAGAAACAAAAGAGACGTACAGGGTGTCAACAGTTAAGTAGAAGACACATGCTGACAAACAGTGAAGTTTCTATTTTGTGTTTGCCAGTAAAGAAGAAGCCATTGACGTGAACAAAACACAACATACATGGCACACATAAATACAACGTACTTCGGCGAAAGATAAAACGCAGGAAGGCGAAAGTTTGGCGAAAGTAAATTTTTGTTTGGCGAAAATGACGGATCCCGGATAAAGGAATTTAGATCAACTCCCATTTATAATATTACATAATATATAGATATATAGAGAAACCTTGAGCACTTGGAGGGGTCCACCAGGCTGAAAAGGAATGAGTTGCCTGTGATGTTGGAGTTTAAACACATAAATTTCGGACCAGCTGCCAGGGCGTCTCAAACTACAAACTAATTGAGATGTGGGTGTAGCCTTGGTAGCTTGCAAACAAAATAAATAATCCCGCTACAACTTACAACACAAAGCGCAAAAGAACCCGCTTGCAAGCCTCGCAGCCTCATCTTCCATTGGTTTCCGCGGAGCAACCAACACCCAGACACGTTTGAGGGCACTGGGATAGATGCCACCCCATTGAGCCCTGAAATTAATCACCCCAACTCATCAGTAAATGCATGTAAATGCTATATAGTTTCATATATATATATATGAGGTGGGATCAAAATAAGTGTAGACTACTTTAGTCAGGAGAGGTCGATGTGAATGGCTTAGGGTGAGGATGTATTGGAAACCGATAAGGTCTCCCCCAACACCGATAACCTATGTATGATGGTATTCATTATCATTCCTGACAGATCCTTGCAGTACCTGTTGCATGTCGAATGAAAACCCCACTGACAGTACCCTAGTGGGCGGCTTCAGCCATATGATACGGAATCAATAATTTTGTTGCTGTTTGTCTTTCTTTTTATAATCTGCAGCCATCTCTTGAAAAATCCGGATTCTATGTGGGCACTATGCCGATAACGAAACCGATAACTCGCCGATAACCGTTTGGATATGTTTTCAGCTTTCATAGCCACTTGCCCAGAGCCTGCTGACAAGACAGCTAAATTCCCTATTGAAGACATTGGTCTAGCCTTTCTTTTTGAGAACTTACATGTTAGTACTTTACATGAAGGCCGATAAATATTAAGATAGAGACAGGTACACCAAATTTCACAAACCCCTCGAGATTGCAATGCCTTTGTCCGCTGCTGACAAGCGAGCTGTGAACAAGCTCGTCATCCACTGCTTCTGATTTCAGCGAGTAGGTAGCTCCGCTTCATGCAACCACAATGTAAATGCAATGCCAAAAGCATCTGGCTGAACAAAAAGCTGAAAACCGATAAGGTCTCCCCCAAAATCGATAACGATAGAAAGCATCCTTAGCATAAATAATTGATTTTGACCGTGGCTCATATATATACTTGGGAAATGCCTAGGGGTCCAGCGTAGTGGAACCGGTCGGTTGCGCCAGGAAGGAGGTGATGTTCTCCTACACCTGCCAGGACGGTACCGTGGCTGGCAGTTCAAAGTTCAACCGATGGCCATCCATCCAAAGCGATTTAATTCACCGTTCTTGGATGCCAAAAGCGGTATTTATGTAAACAAAGCAAATGTATTTTATGCAAAGGACACACATTAACAAACATGCGTTATTTATTTCCAATGGTTCCCAGTGGTGTAGAATGAGTACATTTGTCACCTATTCATTCCTTCGTTCTTCTGTTTGGTCCGAGGTTCAGTGGTCCCAGCGGATGCCTTCCGGATCAACGGCAGTGGGCCCCAAACGAGTCGCAGTTTGTTTGTTTGTTTTTCTTGTTCATGCTTCGGTTTGGTTCGTTTGTGTATGGAAAAGACGGTTTGAACGATTTCTAAAAGTTTCTATACGATGTGTTTTATTTCTATGTAGATTTTTATTTTTTTTATGGCTTTCACTTGTGGGGACGTTTACTTCTGGAGGGTCACAACAACGGAGAATGTGATTAATGTATCGCCATCAAAAGTCAGAGGTGTGATTGCCCAAGTAGAGAGTCTTGGTAAACGTCACTCCAGGCAAAACAGGAGTTCAAAGTTTTCCTCATGTAATATAAGTAATAATTCCTGTCGGGAAACGCACGATTCTGAAGCAACACCAACATGCTTTGTTGCCCCTTCGGTGAAGCGCGCTGCGTTGGCAATCTTCACGAAGCGTCTCCACTCATGCCCTTACACATGAGGTCCTGAAAGGCCTTGAAGGGGATGGTGGAGGTTGGGGAACGGGAGCAACTCGTGTCCAGTAGTTGAATGTTTTTGACTACCCAAGAGACAGATTTATATAAAACCATACATTGATTGGTTTTGGTACATGGGAGGCAATCACAAAATGACCGAATCAGTGACACATTTTTCTCAGGCTTGAACCTCATTGCCCGTGGCTTCCTCCACCTTGACGCTGGGTCTGCCCCCAGTGTGGAGGCTGTCACAGCGGATTTGAGAAGTCTTATTGGCTCAGTCCAGAGTAAATCTTGTCTATTATTCTTTGCGAATAGGCATTCATCCAGGTCCATATGTTGCTGGTTGAAACCAACGGAGTTCATAGATAGAAACCAAATCGAACGGATGTCTCCGATTTCATCCGGCAGCGACTTCTTTTTGTTGGCGAGTCACTTTCCAGATGGCAATGGACGTTGCTTCTCGTCGTGGGAGAAGCATCGTGAATCCAAAGGAATCCATACAGGAATCCAACTGATCCCGATGTATTCGCGTGGTACTCAGCAACTGCCTCATGCCCTTAAGAGGACCACACCAAATGTAACGTTGACCGTTCTCACATTGAGTCTTCTACTTGAATCAAACTTGTGGGTCAAAAGGCAGATTCCTTGCAGACTTTGGGCTTGGTTGGTTCAACCAGAGCTTGTAAGGTGTTACCTTGCCAAGCAGCCTGCAGGGCAGGACTTCAACCAGAGCTTGGATGGTGTAGATGGTGCCAAGTAGCTTGCAGACTTTGACCTTTGGCTATGGTTTTGACTTAACGCATAGCCGAAGGTCAATCTCTAACCAGAGTGTGGAAGGTGTCACTTTGCCAAGCAGCCTGCAGACTCTGTCCTTTTGGCGAGGAAAACAACAAGAGCTTGGAGATACCGAACATTTAGCCTGCTAGGCCTGCTTCGAGTCCATGACAGACTACGTGCTCCGCAGCGGGCGCCGGTCCCCCGCCGCCAGGCTGAACTGTCGTGTCGTGCGAAGCGTCGTGTCTCGCTGAAGACGGGCTTTCAGCGGAGCGTCCGGCGAAAGGGCTGTATTCGCATTGAGTTTTTGGGTGATGTAGTTTTTGGGTGATGTACTCGCATGTGCCTCCAGCCCGCGATTTGTGACGAATGGTGAACACACTTTTCGGTAGTAGCGACTGTTGGTGAAGTTTCAGAGAACTATAGCAGTTCCACCTCGAAAGGATACTCATGCAGTTTTTGATCCAGGGTTTTGTGACTGGCTACTCTGCCAGACCACTGTGGAGTTAGCCACTATATGGAAGTCAAGAACTCGACAAAAAGACATGAGCAAAGCATGAACCTTGGACCAACCACGTCGACCTAGTTTGTCCCAACCCCTTGGTTACCAGTGATCACCCTTGGTCACCATTTGCTTTCAAAAACATACCTTTAAACGTCCCTAGATGTAGCCCAGGTGGTTGGAGGTGGCTTGGTGTTTTGGTTTCCTTTGTTGTTTTCACCTCGACCGACCGGACGTTGACCGTGGACTTCTCGACTTCCCGATGTCCCGATCGTGCGGATCGCGGAGCTGAAGCCACCAAGGTTCTCCAGGTACCTTGCTACGTTCGTAGCATCTAGTAGCTTCTTGATACTACTAGTATGGCCAGGAGCTACGTTCGTAGCTGCCTGTTGCTAGTAGCGAAGTACGTTTCGCAACTTACCCCGTCACACACAACCCAATTTACACCCCGGCCTATGGGCCTTGAGGATCTTGAGGCGTGGAATGACACTTCTTGGAGAGCTATCCCAGATTCAACAAGAATGACCGAAATCTGTGGTCGGTGTTCAAGCATGACTCATGACCCTGACACTGATATATAATTGAACTTGATATTTTATTATATTGATCGGCCGCCTAGTGTATCAACACAATCACAGTGACCACTCAACTACCCGAACCCACCGACCGCACCGACCGCTTGGTCTTCATCGAACCCACGGAAAAGACGGTCCTGACCGGCCGAGAACTGGATGCGGAGCGACGGCGACCTTTGCCAGTTTGCCCTCGTCGTCGCGGAGGCGGCCGTGCGAACGATGAAGACGGGGGTCGACGGCGGCCGCGCGAAATCAGATCAGTTCACGTTGGCCCCCGTTGCACTCGCTTGGGTTTCGGCTGCATCGTGGTGGTGGGTGGAACCCCCCGTTCCCGGGCGGGGAGAAAGCACCGAATTTCTTGGTTTTTGTCGCATGCGGGATGATCCGACTCGTGGGGTGTTCTTGGAAGTCTGAAAAGACACATTCTGTGAGAAGTTCTGCCAGGCGGCCGCGAAGGGTTGGCCGGGGGCAGCCTCTTGGCTGGAGCGACTGGAGGCTGGTGCAGCGGCCACGCAAAACCGCAAACTGCAGAAGATGTTCGGGCTGATGGTCAGCGGAGTTTTCTTGCTTTGTTTTGTTGAAGAATTGCAGGGAATTTCTGAAAGCCACTTTGTGGACTTAGTGACATAGTGGCTGTTGATGGAACATTCCAGAGACATGTCTTTCGTATTCTCAGCAGTTTGCAGGAAAACTCGCACTGAACAGTTGCAGATTTTGACAGAAGTAGTTTGTGTTTATTGTGTTTCAACAATAGAGGATGATGAGGATGGAAACTGCTGAAATTGTGTTTTTGCCAAGCGCCGGCATTCTTAGATGGCCAGCATTCGTAAGTGGGAAATCCTCGAACAACCCTTGGAGGAAGAAGCAGAAACAGATCATCTAAAGCCATGCTGTTTCTTTGTTCCACAAAGGGAGGTTTCTCCTCCCTTGAGTCGTTCAAGAGAGACAACGGTACAACAAGCTGCTCTCTCCACCACATCAGGTCCAATTTCAGTGTAACTCACCCAGAAAAGATTTTTTTTCATTTGAGATCAGTTTGCGCGCGCGCGCGCCTCTCAGATGATTATCGGACGTTGTAAGATTTCAACGAAGTATGTTTAATCTGCACTTTGCAGATGAAACATGATAAAGACTATAACTGTTCATCCAACATCATCCAACACTTGCAAAGGCACTTCCGACACGACTGGAAAACAGCCCTTCACCAGGCGCAGCGGCGCAGCTCGTGTCTCCCTCGTGTCACCCGGCCCCTTCTCCTCTTCAGGCACAGCTCCAGCTGATCCGCGCCAACGCGAGGCCAAGGGAGTGCGGGCACTCAGGAAGGTGAATATAACACACCATTTTGACGTACACATCGGTGGGATATACTGCGATAGTTAGCTGACTTCGTGCATGGTTGGCCTGATCCCTACTGAAGAGCAGGTGGTTTTTGTTTGGATCCTCTCACTCTGCCTGAACGGCGCGCTAAGATTATCGCAGCTGGAGACCGCACTTGAACATGCGAAAATGCCCAAAGCTCAGTGCTCACAAGCCAAGTTCAGTCTGACACTGCCTACTGTTCTCTACCCTACAATATCCCTTAAAAACTGATAAGTATTGTTCTCCCGAACTCCTGATTTGGCAGTGGTAAGCTATTTGTTTGAAGTGTTCTTTGTGGGTGTGCAGCATAGAACGGGCTCATTGACAGCAAGTCTTTGTCTTTAAATGATTGTTTGTTGAAGTACTTCTCGGATGTTACCACAGATTGAATGGAGGGTCCAGTGTTATGAGCCCTTTATTACAAGACAACTTAATTAGGTTTTTGTTTGCCATAATAGGTTCTTCTCATAACTTGACAATACGTAAAGAGTCCCACCAATCGCACCTTTTGCCGAGGGCAGCAAGCGCGAGCTGAAGCAACCTAAAGATCGGAGAAAAGCCGCTTGCCACTGGCAGCCGCTTTGACATACAAATTATAGAATGATGCAGACAAACACCCTCGTCCATGTGCTTTACCCTACTGTAGACAAGGTAGAAGAGTCTCCTGTTCTTTTTTGTTAGCTTGTTTTCATGCCGCATTGTTAGATGGATATGTTTCACGTGTTTTATGTTTCTCTTGTAAATCTTGAATCTTGACTCTCCACTCTCCTCTCCGCTGGTTGTCATCACGAAGAAGGATCACAAACCCGTGAACTCTGGCCATTGGAGATGTTTTTTGTTTTCCAACTTTCCCTGTGTGCAGTGCGAGGTCTTGTGGCTCGTTTTTGGTTCAAGACAATTGGAGACTTGACAAGTCCATGAACAATGTGAGACGTAAAGCAACCAACACCTCGAACCGACTCCTCAACAGAGGAACAAGGAGCTTATGATTTATGATATGTATATATATATATATCCATCATGAGATTGTTTCCACATCAATGCCAACTGGGTCGGCTGATCAGCCGACTGTGCTTCAGGGTCGGCTTTGTTTCAGGGGTCCGATCCCATCCATCGAGTGTATGGCGCTCATCGACATGGTAGAAGGGCGCTCCAATCGACTTGGCCAGTGATGGTTTCGGATGATGTTTGTTTTCAACATGTTTCAAAACCCTTACTTGGGATGATTGAGCCCATTCACTTGTTTCAAGGGGGTTGAAAACACGATCAGTACTGAATCGGCCAGTGTGACTCTGATGGGGCATCATGGGGCAAGGCACTTCTGTCGAGGCAGTGGGCAGGAGTCGGTGAAGAATGCGCGGGAGTGGGTGCAGTCGGCTTAGAAGTTCTTTGACTGGCAGGTTTCCGGATTTTAATAGATTTTCTGTTTATGGCACCTGATCTTTGGAATCCTTGTGATCTGTATAATACTGCGCATATGTGATGAACAGATTTAATTTTTGAGCATATTTTGGTATCAGCAGAAAGTGCGGATCTGAAGCGATTCTGCTGAGCCAGGCGGAGGTCGCGCGGAGGTCGGCTGCTGGGGGGGTGCCCGGGTGCCGCAACGTGCCGTGCAGCAAAAAGGAAAAGCATGGAAGAGCATCGAAAGCAACCAACTTTAGTACTAGGGGAAATGGAGATGGGTGAAAAGGAACCAAATAAGTCTGTTTCCAAAGGCTGTGGAAGGAGCTATCTTAGTTTTTTTCAGCATACTCCGATAAGATATATATATATTATTTTCTAGTTGTATAATATGGGATTCAAGATTATTCAAGACACTTTTCAAACCACTCCACATACACCAAGAGAGTCCAATCCAAGAGTTTGTGTGTCATGCCTTTGTTCAGAAGAGTTGTTGATAGACTGTGTGAGTTGTTGAGAAATGAATGGGGGTTTGATTAGGGTGTGCCCCATTAGTCGTTACCAGTAACAGTCGGTAAAGGATGATCTATTTGTTGGGGGGGCACGAAAGGCCTTTAACCATCATCCACTTGGCCTTGGTAATGGGATATGCCCAAGGTTTGATGTTGGATCAACATCCGTTGCTTTGGGATCGCAGGGAGACCTACGGCTTCAGCCATGAAGAGTACGCTGAACTGCAGAAGCGCCTGGCCGTGACGCCGCGCGGGCACCGAGTTGAGTCGGACAAGTGGCAGCGCCACGGGTTTTGAATTGCAGTTGTGATTCAAGACATTGATGTATGGGAAGATTATGAACAAATGACATGGTGGTATTAGCAAGAGGCTGTTTGAAGTATGAATTGATTAATTGTCCACTTGATGGTCGTGCTGGAGCCTACACCTTTGCTCCTAGGTCCACACAAAGAGTGGAGCTGGCTGATTTTGCTTCTCGTCTCATATGACGTGGCGCCAATTGACCGGACCACAGTGTTTTGCTAATTATATTGGGCAAACGACATGAGGCTCTTAGGCTCTTGATCCAAACACCGTAACACAATGTAACACAACATTCTGATGTGGGGGCATCACAATATCACAACATACATGAGTTTCAGACCTTGTTGTGTTCATTTGGAAGCACTGCAGTGTATAAAAGCACCACATGACTATGTGCCCGCCCCAAGTGAAACGTTCCAACCGCTACGCTCACTGAGTTCCTTTTCGCATCTTTTCGCCATGTCGAATCCAACAACACCCGAGCTCTTCAGCTCCAGAACCCTTCCAGATGAACATGGGAACTTGACCCTTTACTTTCGGGACATCCTTCAGCGGTCTTCCTGTGAATGTTGGGGAATCTCCTTTGCTCGATCCTCATACTCAATTGAGTACTCAATTGATATGACACCGGTGCTTTGCGTTCCTTCAGGATTGGTATTTGGGAATTGATTCCAGGACATGTCACCATCCCCCGCCATCCCCCATGTTTCTTTTTGTGTGTTCTGTTGATCGACTTCACATCCAAGCAGATTCAGTTCGGGGTCACCTGGCTGGTTTCGCCCCTACACTACCCCTGCATTATCCAGGATCTTATTGGACACCACTTGAAGGTCCAAGTCTAAATGGACGAAGCCGGTTCACCGGCGTCGTGGCAGTGGCATCGACCACACTCAGGTGAGATGGTTCCCGGTACATCTTCGCTGGCGGCTGAGTGGATAAGTACACTCACAAGGAATGTTCCCTGACTCAGCAGAACAAACACATTTTATAATTGATATAACTAATCTAATATATATATATATACACATTGTAATTGTATGTGATTCTATTATATATAAAACAAGAAAAAGGAACATTGCAATAATCGCGCAACATTTTCAGGTGAACAGCAGCACGGCCAAGCAATGGAACGCCACCTATCACAAGAAAAGGACTTACAGTTAGTTTTATGGTCACTTGCAAAAAATGACTATATTACAATATCACAAAGACATTGCTAGTAATACCCCCCCATTATGACGAATGTGTACGACGTCTCACCTCAGGTATCATAAGAATAAACAATATCCGAAGAACACCTGGACCTTATGTCACATTGAATTGATATTGAGGGATTCTGACAATGGTGACATTACGTTTTTCTAGCGCATTATTGACTAAGAGACCCATGAATAAGCACCTTTTTTGTGCATGTTGTTTCGGCAAGACTTGGATCGAGAGATGCACAGATTTGCCGGGATGAAAAGAACGTGGCCTCTGAAGATTGTGTGGCACATTGTGGGCCACCTATTTTAAACATCTGTTTGTTGCTTGCCTATATAAGTTATACGCATGTATTATGGGTTGGGACATCATCCTGGAAAGTCGGATAGATTTACTGTAGGTGATGTAGATCTATACCTCCACTGTCCAGCACTTCTCGTCACCAAAAATTTGTGTCAATGTGGCGTCAATGTGTATCACAGAGCTCCATTGCTTGGGCCAAACCCCTTGCAGTAGGCCCCACCGACGGGTGGTCTTCATGCCTGACCAAGGCTCCTTCGTGCAGCCCTTGTTTTGCTACCTGGGCAAGGACCGAGGCTTGACGGTTTTTGAGTGTAAACCGTTTACCTACACTTACAGTACGCTACTAGGGGCTCCTGGCCTTACTACTAGGAGCAAGGGCATCGCTACTAGAGACAATAAATAAATATACTTAAAAGTAATTAGAATTAAGTATTAGGGAATATGTTCCAAGTGTAAGGGAAGACTTGACACGGGCAAATCTTATGTCATGGCAAATGTTCTTCACGGTCTGGGCGGTTCATGGTTTGGCCCCGTCCTTCCGACCCGCGAACGGTCTTCACTCCTTTCTGTCGAAAGGAGCGGGTGGGCGAAGGGTCTGCAGCGTGGTGAGCCAAGCCGCGTGCGAGCGAGTTCGCGCGAGTCCGCGCTCTCGAGCGGTGACCTGGATTTGCTGGGTGAACCCATAATTTGCTTTGGGACCATCCACTCATCCTATGAAACCTCATTCACTATCATTCACTGCTATAGTGCTTATACACGTAGCTAGAACCTCTGCCTGGAGAACAATATTGTTGACGAAACTAAAATGTTTGCTGTTTGCCGATGTGCATATCAGAAACATATGTGACGTATTCCAAAGACAATTTTGCTCAAAAAACAACGCTGGCAGCGAAACAAACATACTGTAGATGTTTTGGGGCTTGTGCTGGAATGATTGCAGTTCATCACCCAAAAGACTGTTGGAGAAAACTCCACTCGCTGCGTTACATGGCGGACTCTTCAGATATGCAGGACGCGATGTTCTTTTTCAGGCGGTTGCTTTTGGGGAACAATGACTCGTTTCCTCTTCAGACGGACCAGCTCCTCCGGGTGACCGAGCCAGCGACGCGAGCGACGCGAGCGAGTGTGAGCGCCCTGCGCAGGTCTGCCCTCGCGCAGGGCCTCGGTCGCGTGGTGAAGTCCGGAGTGACCTGGTTCGGGGGCCTCAGATCGAAAGCGCGCAGGTTTCGATGCAGAGCGAAAACGCAGGGTGGGTGTGTGTGGGGGTTAGCCTGGAGGGTTTCAGCTTTGGCACACGCCTGGAGGCGTTCTTCACGGTCTTTCAGACCTGTGGGTGAAAAAACAGGGTTGACAGCAGAGTGAAGGAGATTCACTTGTGTGATGCGCTGTGAATCATCTTGATGAGATGGCTTAGTGAGTTGGTTCCTTTTGTTACCAATTTGGTTTATATTATAACCTGACCTCATTGTAGCAAGCCAAGAATGAGGCAGAATCTGACATCTGAACAAATTTTGGAATGGACGCCACGTCTTGTGGAATCTCTTGAACCTCAGTCTTCTGTGCCAGGAAAGAGTTGCTGCAGGCGAGCGAGCGAGCATTCATACTGCGCAACTCGATCCACCTGAGAGGATCGCTGGGAAAGTGTAGAATCTACGAACGAAGTCAGGTCACCTCCATATGTTCAAGAGAACCGAAGATGAACACTAACCAAACAGTAACACTGACCGTTTCATGTGTTCTAAACGTTTTTTGGGGGTCAGGTCATATGTTTTTCAATGTGTTTCATTTCATTTGTCGTTCTAACAATGACCCCAGGTTGATGGACCGTTTTTTGTCGACCTCCAAAGTGGTTCACCTGTGGTGTCGACCGCTACCAGATGTTGGTCCGGTACCATGGTGAAGAAAGCACTCACATCCATCTCCATGATATGCCATGATATTAAGCTCACCATTAATTACATATATATGTTTATTATCATATTTTACATTAAAAAATATATTTGTATATATATATATAACTGTATTCATTATTGAAATATGCACATTAAAAAAGAACAAGAACAAAAATCAAGCAAACACCACACCCTTTTCCGCCTAGCTCTCCTGGTTTTTGTTCGGACACCATAGTCCTTTGTGCATGAATCATCATGGAAAGTTAGATATTGTTGTGGCAGACCTTCCGTTTTGTTGTGGCTACTGTATCTATTTTAAATCAGCTACTAAAAGATCAACTATATTGTTCCTTGAAAAACAACGGATCTTCCTCAGCCAGGTTTGGACAGAGCCAGCCGAGGAGGCGGGCGCTCGAACGGTTCCGTGTGTGGTCCTGGTGGGGGTTGGATTTCACCGAGACACTCACTGTCAACAGCGGGGAAACTTTGCGAACGTCCAGTGGTAAAGGTTGAGACATGTTGAGATCATGGACCATGGAAGCCAGCGGTGAGCTTGAAGTACGACTCACAACGACTCGATTTCCCTCAGATGATGGTTTGTTCCAATGTTTTCCCCCAGGCGTGGTGCGCTTTTCCGTGATCGGTCCGCTCATCGAACGTCTTTGAGCCAAAGCTCTCACAGAATGCCATTGGATGCCCAGGTCCGCTCTCCAGGCGGGTCCACGGGGCGGTGGGGGTCCACGGGGCGGTGGGGGTCCGGAGACATGGACGTCGTGCATGGTGGGGGACGTGCACCGGCCTTGGTGCCCCGACCAGAGGCAGAATGGAATGCCTAGCCTAGAAAAAAGTCAGGGAAAATCCAGAGGCATGAAGCATCATGAAGCCGTGGCTGATAGGCCAAATGCGAATGTTGGATCAACCCCTCAAACCCAATTCGCCAAGTTCCCTCTTTCAGGTGGACTGACTAGGACTCGTGTCCTTTCCTGTCTCAATGAGTTGATCTCCACCTCTCTCTACAAAGCCTGTGGAAGTTTGTCCTATTTGCTTTGCGGTTTAAATGTTGGGTATTGTTGGATCGGTTTCCAAGGCAGATGGTTGGTTCCTTGACTCCTCTTCGCTGCGGAGAACGGTGTCCCTCTCACTTTCTGAGCCGTTTGAGAAAAGCGGAGAACGTCGCGCACCACTCGTCGGTAGGTGTCGCAGCTCCGGAGTCCCGGGGCCTGGGGGGATGTTCCAAGACGGTGGAGACGGAGGGCAAAGAAGATCAAAGAAGTATCCAACGTATCCAAGCCCAAAGATGATGATAACGTTGTTCAAACATGTTCAAAAGGGAAACATGATCGATTGTGGGACTACTAAGAGATTGGATTTTTCAAGAATTAGGGTGTTTGTGAGGCATTCTAGAAGAGTGTGCTTCACAGATTGGGCAATGAGCAATCACTTGCCGTACATGAGACTACCGTACTGCCCCTACTGCATTTGTTTGAGACACACCACAACGTGTTTGTATGTCAGTGTGTATGCTATGAGCCCTCATTGAGGGTCTAGAGTCTAGGTAGCTTGGCCAGTTGGATTGTTCAGGTCTGCCTATATAGGTCATCCAGGTGCCGCGTTTTTGTCGTTGTTCGATTCTGTTCGATGGGCCACAAATTTATAGACAAAGGTAGTGAAGGTATACCTGGTGATCTACCTACCCCTCACATGTTAGTATACCTCAAGAAAGTTCTTTGGTCAATACTCATGTTTCGCGTGGTTTCCTCTTACAGGAGGAATCCGCATAATATGGGGGCGGGTAGATTTGTGTACAATAGATACAGGTGTCATGGGCATCCCTTTGGATGTGTTATGATGTGTTTTCCTCAGAAAGTCCACAGACTCCCGGGGCCCAAATTTGGGCGACACGCCGACAGTTCCCTCCACGCGAGGCTGGAGCTCTGCCTGGAGTTGGCCGTCTCCCTGCGGCTTGGTGAAGAACAAAGGGTGCAGCGTTAGTGCTAGAAGATCGAGGATCAGTTCGGTGTTGGAAATCCAGAACGGGGTAGAACTTGGAATGACCAAATGTCCAAAAAGCACCCCAGCTTCTCACGTTTTGCAGGTCAGTACAGCAAGACCATAATACAATATTACATGCTTGCTGTGGGCTTACACTGTGACGATTGGAGACGGATGCCATTGCCACAGCGATGTGTGTTTTGCCTCCGCGATTGCCACAGTTCACCTCAGTCAAAAAGAGAACAAATGAACAACTTCAAGAAGCTACTAGGGGCTCCTGGCCTTACTACTAGGAACAAGAAGCTACTAGGGGCTCCTGGCCTTACTACTCTCGAAACTTGCGCATGTCCGGACGCTTCCCGAGATCCTTCCCTGTGGTAGGGGGTATTTGGGAGTTGGGTGAGAATCGAATGTGGTGAAGATACAAAAGGTGCACTATACACAGATCAACTACGTGAAAACGCATGTCCGCGCAGCATAAATTCCTAATTGGGTGCTGGTGGGATCGGCACCCGAGCTAGATCTCCTTTGCGGTGCCAACACTGTCGAAGATACCGCCGATACAGAAAGCGTTGTTCAAATGTCAATGGTACAGCATCCATGACTGGGAATATCGGTTTAATGTGATGCATCGGGACAAGCCCATCGGGGTGATATGGCGGCTTGCACTGTAAATCGGCAGCATAGCGGATGAGTGAGCGTTGCACAGCTGCAGAATTGGGAAGCTCCGGCCGCAGTGAAAAAACCCCAGTGTAAGCACGACCCCAACCGATGTGTGTCAGACTGAGTGAGCCTGTTTTGGAATAAGCCGGGAGGAGCGGGATATCTGAATTCCGAATATTTCTGGAGATATAATGCAATAGTACGAAATGCTTCTGCCTGCTCTCGAAGAGATCGACGATGTGCGGGCAGGGCCACAACTCGGGGGTCTTGCCAGTGGAGGGGCTGCGCCCGCTGAGCTGGCTGTGTCTGAACCCAGGTGGGAAATTGAAGACCTGTATTAACGATAAAGGCCAGGGCAAGTTCATGCCATGTGATACCGGCCGAAGCGGTAGGGTCTGTGCGGCTTTCATCTGCAATGGGCCAACGCAAGGCGGCACAAAATCGCAACACCAAGTCAGCATATTGATTTCCCCATACACAAGCGGTCACAAATGTGGGATGGACAACTGGATGGAAAACTTGTCCTGGAAGGGGCACAACATAGGATTCCGAGGAACAAGAAGCTACTAGGGGCTCCTGGCATCGCTACTAGTAACAAGGACGCTACGAACGGGGCTCCAGAAACTGCAGAGTCGCGGAACTTCCGTGAACCGTGACGCGGAAGGCGCGCGCGCACGCTTTTCCACGGCCGCATCGAGGTGCTATTGGTGTGCCGTGTTCAAACGAGAGGCGGGAGATGTTCAGATCTTCGTTGCCTCAATGGTCCAGGATCCTCAAAGAGTCAAAAGACTAAAAAACTCCTATTCAGAACAAATCAGAACAAACATGTGGAAGATTGTGGAAGTAATTTTTGAGCCCTGGTCAGGAACCCCGGTTGACGTGTCCACCGTTCTGTCTGCAGCTGCTTTTGTGAACCTCCCAACACTCCGGACCTAGGGCTGGACCCACCGACGGGATTTCCGCCCCCCAAAAGATCAACACGTTTTGACTTGATGAGTCTTTGCCCTGGCTTCTGGGCGACCTGATTTTCAGTCAATCATGGGCGCCTTCCAACCTTTGGCAAACGGCGCGAAAACATGTGCAATTCTTGGTCTTTTGACGGGCTCAGGCTCAAGAAACGCCAGGATACAGCGCTTTTCTTGGACGTTTCTGGGAATTGGGTGGAACAACGGCCAGGGATAGGCATGTTCCATACCGACCTGAGTCGGGTTCGACTGGTTCGACTGCTTCGAACTGCGGAGGCCGAAGAGTCGACAGGTCCGAGTCGACTGGTCGGGAGACCCGACGGGAGAGGGGGAGTGGCGTTGCAAATGGACACGACAACTCCCCGGCATATGAGCACCTATTATAGTTATAGTATGTTATAGTTATATGCAGAAACCCGCAATGTTTGGTGGTTGTTTTTGTTGCGCCTGGGTTGCCAAGTGGAGGAAGGGATTGAAACGCTTATGGAACATGATGTTTTCCTGTGGTTTCAATATCGTTTCTACATGGTATCTATTGGTTGACATTGGTGGAACTCTAAATAAATTGGTGATCGATGGCGATCCATAGGGCTACAAGCGGATGATTTGGCCCAAGAGAGAAAAGAGCAAACAAACATCATGACCAGCGAGCAGGGTTTCGCTACTGTTGTGGAATTCTACTTAGCTTGCTCGTGGACTACGCTCCTTGACAGGACTGGCGTCCTCACCACGTCACACGTGAGGACCAAGAAAGATGATAAGAGCTGCCCAGCATCCACTCTGGGGTACTACCATTCGGAGAAGTCGGCCTAGTCCAAAGTTTGTTACTGAGGAAGGATTTGTTATCAGATCTCCATCATGTTTTGGATGCCCTTCACTTGGGCTTCGCTATGGGAACATCCCGGAGCTATTGCAGCTCTTTCGACGAAGAGTCAAGCCTGCTATGGCTATGAATGCTGGAATGCACTGCTCAAACTCTTCTTTTGACTTTGGAAACTCCAGCTGGAGAGTCAGATTAGTATATGGCCGTGAATCAGAACCCAGAGCCCCAAACCCTGGTAGGTTGACTTCCCTTTGTAGTCTTTTGTTCTGTTCGTTTTCGGTGGTCGACCAAAGTTCCTGTCAGCTTGCAATGAGCGTTTACAGAAGGAAGGGCTAGATAATGCCCGGAATCATTGTAACAATGTGCTTTTGCCTGGGGGAGTCAAACATTAATATATTAATTGTTTGCTAACATGCATCGGTCTGAAACATGACCCCCCCATCACTCATGCAGCTCACCCACCAAAAGAAAGACACCCCCTTCTCCGTCGCACACTGGATGCCCCCCCGTTTGCTCGTCCCCGGGTCGTGGGCAGTAGAGCGTGCGTGCAGACCGCAAGCGTGCAGACCGCAGGTGGCTGCTCTGAGGAACGCTCCGATGGACTCCTTGAGTTCGTTATCTTCCTGGCTTGAAGGTCGGTGCCCACCGGGACCGACCGGTCCCGACTCCCGACCGACCGTTGGGCGGGTAGAGGTGTGGGTTGTGGGGTTGTGGGGTTCGGTGCCAGAAATGGTGGCCTGTCAGATCTGTCAGGGTCGATTAAACTGGACCTCATATTGATACCTCATCGGCCGTGGACTCCAATAGAGCGTTGCACCAAAAGAACCCATTTTCGCGGCCCAGACTCGTGCAAGTATACTTGTAACCAAAACAGTTCCACTACAGTCACCATAGTCACGAGCTGAATCGTTCTGTATTGACCTTGGTAACCATGGTACAGTATACACGTAGAATAGAAATCGTTTAAGTCCCTCTTGGGCGGGCTCCTAGCCTAGGCCATCTTCCCATGCTCCCCAAAGCCGTTGCTTCTTGCTTGGCACAGTCCTTGACCGGCTCAGCTGCTTGGCGCAGAGCCATGGGAGAAGCGACATGACGCAGACATGGAGGGACCTGCTGGACGGAAGATTTGTTGGGTACTGTTGGCCAAAGGATGCCAAAGGAATCTTATGATCATTAACCGATTTAATTTAACAGTAAGCAGTTGTTTACTGTAATCATTTGTTCATAATAGAATCATTTGTTTGTTGCTGTTGGTTGAAGGATTTATACCATAGGGAGACCCCCTGGAAGACCACAATCTATTGTATATAAAATATAAATACAGGCCTATCCAAAAGACATGCTGTATCAATAACTGGGATCAGGCCTAGGAAGTATCTGAAACAATTGTTCACCCTTGACCAAGAACCACACAAACTGGTGCAGTTTTGTTTCAGAACAGGTGCTCTTGTGAGATGGCTAATTTTTGTTGCAATGATAGCAATCACACGGTGTGTTAGTGCAATTGAATTCTCTTTCAATCACCTAGTGAGCACATGGTTCAATGGTTCTATTTCTGGTGCTGCTTTGTGTCCCCAAGGTACCTTGGATTTCTACCCTAAACGTTCTTCAGCCCCCGACCGACCCTGCCGACCCCACCTGTGGTCGCTTCAGAGGCAGGGATCGAGCCACCTCCGCTACCCGAGAGCCGCATCCTGGAGGCCGGAGAGCGTGTCCAGGACGGTGTTGAAGCTTCCCCCCCCAAACCAGCGGTGTTCGGTTCCATCCATCAGGCCGTTTGGGGTGTATGGGATATTTCTTCCCACATATCGGGCTCGTAGAGCGGAAACTGCTTTGTACATGCGCAGGTGCGGAGACTGGAGAGACTGTGTGACTGGAGTAGACTGGACTAGACTGGAGTCCCTGGCTCTTGCAGCCTTGAATCTTCCAGCTGAGACCTGGGCACAAGTTCAAATTGGTTTGGTGACATCTTGGAGAAGTTCCTTGACAAACCGGTTGCAAAACTATAGTTAGTTGGTCTACCATGTGTGTTCGTCATTGGTCTATCACAGTCCACCATGCTCGTAAATTGGTGTTCTTCGTGCTTTCTTCGTTTGCACCGGTCTCTTCCATCCCGCCCGACACGTTCCGTTCCCGCCCGTGTCAGGTGGGAACGTCCTTGCCCTGGCCCCAGTGACACCTGAAAACACAGCCGTCCAAGACATGGGAAGAGTGAACAAATCCACAAATATCACAAAATCATTGCATACTGGGGTCAGATGACTTGGGCCATGCTGTGGTCCGAAATGACATACAATGCAAAGATCCCCAGACTTGGCGGTGCAAATCATCTGAGAATCGTGAAGAAAACAGAGCAATATGGGAGGAACACGTGGCAGATTTCATGGAAATGGGGTTAAGCATCGGGACATAGTCAATATTATGTGTAGGCAATCGTACAGCACCTTGTTTGACTTTTGCAGGCGTGACATAGATTTGGCATAGATTTGGCATGTGGAGAACCAGTTGGGCCAAACAATAGGGGGGTCGGTTACTTGATCCTCCTCTCACAGTAAATGACACCTTTTGGTTATACGGACGGTTATACCTTTATAGCTTTGCGTACCTTCTGGTTGGCCACCTACCTGCAAGTGCACTTATATATCATCAAAAGTTGTTCTTCATTGTTCAAGCTCAATGGTTTCTCAGGTGTTGAACAGGGCCACAGACCAAGACCTTTGAATGCCAGAAGGGGTCCAATTCACTTAGATCAACTGCACTTCTTCCTCAGAGATTTGTGCGGCTTGGGCAACTACTCACTGGGAGAGAAAGAAGATCATGACCCACAATCCAACCATCAAACGCTTCCCAAAGGTCAAACATAATAATTACCAAATAAAGCATTATATTTATTGTGAACGATCATGCAATGACATTGGCTATTCACCATCGAAGCAGACCATGAGCCGATCGAAGCAGACCTTGCCCGACCTCCGATCTTTGAGGCTTTTGCGGAGCTGCACTGCGAGACTCTGGGAGTCGGCCGTCTCAGTCGGACTCAGTCGGACTGCTTTTGGAGGTACAGATAGGTACAGTACATCCATGTATATAGTACACAGACGTACTGACACTCGAACAGCTCAGTTTTCCCAAGCTAGTGTTTCTTTTGTTGCGGGGATTGGCCAGTCTTAAAGATTGGAGCCAAGAGTTCTGAGGCGAGCTATAGATGATAGTTTGACAAACTTACAGGCTGACCCGATTTAGAGATTTTACAAACTTTCTCCTGGATACTGGAGTGTATCCTTTCTGCGGAATGGCCCTCCGCATCCTCATTTGATCTCGTCCCCAAAGCAAGAGAATAAAAATACCCAGCAGATGCCTGTTTGCATCATGCGACGCTTAGACAGAGAGAAAAGAGAAGGTGTTTGGATTCATCACCATCGTGTCGGGTTCATTCGAACTGATGAAGGTCGTCTCGCGGCACTTTAGAAGGTGTCAAAAGCATGGAGACCTGGAGACCTACAGATATGAATGTGGACAAACGATCTCTTTGCATCCATGGGACTCGTGCTATCCAGTACCAGAACTGCGGGATCTCGTCTCGTTGGGCGAGATCGACGACACGTCGAGCCGGATCTCTTCGGGCGGGTGCACCAGATGTTGGGGATCTCCAAGAGATCACCGCCTTTTTTGCCTGTTCAGGATCTCTTCAAACTCAGACGTAGACGGTGCAGTGTTTCTGCACAAAGAACATCAGTGAGTTGCCTTAACACAGCATTTTTGAATTATACTTTGCTGCAAGACAGGCAAGATTGAACTAGACATGAGCAACCTTTTCGGTGTTTTTTGATCTTTGGATGTTCCTTTGTGTTCCTCCTCCGCTGCAAGCCACACATTGGGCCACACAGTCATGGCTGGCATGCTGAACAATGTTGGATGCGAAGAATTCATCAAAACATGAATTAGCAGTGCAATCTATCCACTTCTTGGGGATTACTTCAGCCGGATCCATCAACTAAGTGGGTATTTCAAAAGGTTGTATATTCTTATGGATCTTGGTGTAAAGGTTCCTGGACGTTCAGAGGAACCATGTTAACACACAACACAGACTTCACCAAACTCCGTCCCGTTGTATAACTCATATAGTCCATGTGGTTTTTCTTCGCATCTCACAGTGCACTCACCATTTCACCCCGCTTGGACACACCGAATTGGACACCAAAAGAAGCACCACCTGGGTGAAACCACACGCCTCCCCACCCCGACGCGCAAACCTTTCGCCTCGTCCATGTGACGGTCGACTCCGAGGTCCGAGGCCTGGCAACCCCTCTACCGCGACTGGTGCGATGGCCGATCCTTCAACGCGCTGCTGAAGGCCGCGACGCGCCGCGACGTGCCGCCAGTCGGATGTCTTTTGAAAGCACTGAAACGGCAGCTAAAACAGCAGCTACTATAGCTCTCAAATCCAAGAGAGACTGTGAATCCTGCTAACTTACACAACGGCGGGATATGTTCTGCACAGCTCATCCAGGCTCACCCAACTGGCCATGCGGGGAGGAGGAGATGATGGTGGATGATGTAGGATGCAGATTGAATGATGTTGTTGTGAAGGAACAGGGAATTGTGGGAGAATATGTGTGACGTGGAAATGGGAAGAGTGGCTTGAGATTCCGATCTTCTTGAACTACTCTAGCTCTAGCTTGCCCAGTTCTTTGTAGCTCATCTTCCCATCTTACACGTTGCACCTCCAGGCAGACTCATCCGTGCTTTCCACTTTCTCTTCGGTCCAGCAACTGTGCCCGAATCCAGCTTCGGCGCACACCATCCGCCAGGGTGCCCTCTTCTACGATGGCCCTGCACTGCTGCTCTTGCAGACGCCTGAGGGCCATGTCCTGGGTGGCCTCTCCACGCACGGACTCCTGGCTGAGGATGCAGACCTGAAATGGACGAAATGACTGGGAAGATGGGTTGCCCCACCGAGGGGCCGTTTGTTCTTTGTGACCAGGTGGAATGCATGATGTCATGGGTTGGCAGAACTGCCTCACATGCGATTTTGAGACTCCGATTTGAGTATGGCTCTACTTGCTGCCCCTGCTTTGTATGTTGCCCCCTTGCTTCGCCTCCGTGGCTTCGTGACTCCGGCTGTGGGGACCAAGGGATTGACGTCCGTGCGACTCCGCCCGTGCCGACCGAGGGTCTGGAGTGACAACAACGGCAAGTTCGCGGGTTCCACCGAATGTTGGCTGTCCGACTCCCAGTGACGTACGGACGAGACGAAGTACGAGGACGAGGAGGTTGACGCAAGGATAATAGGGACCCGAAAAGAGATTCTTGGGCGAGTGCTGAAGAAGTGTGTGACGTACTACGGAGATTTGGTCTGTGTCTCCTCACGTCACACACTTCTTGAGGAGTTTTTGTTAAAATATGTTCTCAAGATATTGGTGTCGATCCACGGAGATTTGATCGGCGAAGCTCAGGCGGCCCACATCCACGGAAGAACATCGAAGACAGGATCCGTGTGTTGTGCCTTTGATTTGCCTTTGGTACCGGCCAACCAACGCCTTCCTTCCCTCAGTTATTGCCAAAGAGGGACCAAAGATACACCACTGGACCACCTCTCCTGGTCCTGTTTGGATGTTCATCGAACTCGCTACGTTGCTTCGAGGTTTGCACTGCAACCCTCTCTGGCCGTGCCGGGCGGCCCGGTGATCTGCCCAACACAACCCGGTGGTCCGGTCGTTGACGGCCGGAACCTGGGTGGTCCGTCGCCGTGGCCGTAGGATGAACTGAGATACCTACTTCCCCAAAGCCTTAGCATCCCTTAGCTATCTTAATCTTGATCTTATCAGCGGCATAGGCATAGTTGTTAAGTCTAAACTGCCCACCGTAGTTTTAAGTCTGCTAACCTTTTGACTTAGCCTTGACGGCTAAAGCTATGAGCCCTGGGGGCAAACACTTCTGCTTTTTCGACACAGCAGTGGTCGTGGAACTCCTTTTGTCCGAGTGTCTCCGGCCCAACTACTTCTGGGGACAAACCAGTTGCGCGTGTCCAACTTTTGGGTTACCTCAAGACCTTCACTTTTGGAGGAAGGAAACGGGAAGTCTGAAGTCCCCGTTTCCTCGCCCCACCTGCCCATCCGCCCATCCGCGCTTCAAGTAATCATTTGGTGATGGTGGCGAACTGCAAGTAATCCGAGTTAAATTGGTTTGACTTCGTTATGTCAAAGCTAACTCAAAGATAACTATTGTAAGCAAGGACCAAGACATCCTATGAAGAGTCTTATATAGAGGTGACTCGCCGTTGACTTTGTAAAAGCTTTGCAATCACTACGTGTAAGCGATAGGAAATCCTGAAGAGCGATACCTGTTCCAGGAGTAGGCGGCCAATGATATGTTGGTTGACAACGTAAATGTTTTGGAAAAATCATGGGTTTCCGAGCAATACCCAAACCGATACAAAACTTACAAAACAATACCTGGAACGATACCTCAGAAGTCTAGTCCTAGCCACGAGAGATTGTCGGCTTTTGTGTTTTTGCTGAGCCAGAGGGAACCTTGAAGAGCGATATCGTGGCAGCAGAATGGCTAGCATGTTTTGACCGGCTGCGCATGTAGTAAGAACTTTCAAGCCCAAATTGGACTTAACTCCGACGAGTAAGCTTAACATAATTCACGGTTCGGTCAACCTTTTACGTTTCAGGCGTGTTCGTCCGGCGTGGCACTGCAGCGCCCACATGCACTCTTGGTCAAGCGCCGTAAGGGTCGCTGCAGTTGCATGCTCCACCGTTAGGTCTTTGGTAGATGATCATGGTCCTACCTAACGAGGTAGCGGAGAGGAGCTCAACATGCTAAACAGGATCCTTTTTGTTGGGGCTGAAGCGAGAAATAGGATGTGCTGGACATGGGTTGGTTGAGCCACAAGCCTGACTGAATGACTGAAACGCTTCATTTGGAGGGATGTGACCCAATGAGCACGGAGGAGGAGCGGCGACTGTTCCAAGCTTGGGTTGCCAACCTGTAACCCACAGTCAATCTCAACCAGCATGTAGTTGCTAATTGTGATGCAGCCTTGACTAACCATCATAGTTGCATAGAATATGCTATGTAGAGTTACTGTACCTTCTTCAACAGGTTTGCTTGTAAAAAGATGCTGCCCGCAATGGATTGGCGTGCACCGTGCACGCGACGAGGTGTAAGAGCACCAGCAGCTCAGGGAATTACTTCTACCTCAACTCGCTGGAATTCCTGGTGGTCGCTGGTCGAATTTGGTCGGGAATCCACCGCTGGTCCCACAAACATATACTGTATGTGGGGGTGATAGATCAATATATTAAATTAATATAAATTAATGCATTTCATGCAATTTGTTGTTTGGCCGATGATATGATGAGAATCGATGTCCTCCGCACCCCTTACGAACAATATATGCGTACGTACCATGCGGTGAGAAGTTTTCCATCGTTTCCCATGATTCTGAAGGATCACGTTTGGCAGGGCAGGAGCATGAAGCATCTCAATGATCCCCCCCGACAAGCCTTTGTAGTCCCCCCCAGAGAAATACTATATGAGTGTGTCATATTGTGTCATCGTGGCATTGTCAGGGTCTCCATAGATTTGGATCATTTGGCATCAAACCTGGCCCAGTGTCCTGCCAATCACAAAGGCACGGAAACAACACGGAATGAGCCAACACGTGCCTGAGAGACGAAACGCAAGACACAAACCAAACATCACTAGAGACTAGAGATATGTTGCATACATTATAATCCGTGTTCATCCCCTGTGCTTGGGCGCGATGCTCACGAAACTGTGGACTCAGGCGCAACAAGTATGCTCCGCGGGGAGTAGGCTTTGGTGGTCAGCAAAACTTTTTCAGGCGAGACTGCTTGCTTCGTGGTGGTGAAATAACAGTGGCAAAGAGACAGGAAGTGACCAAACCAATTTAGTGAATATTGATCCATTACAGGATCGTTAGAGGGTTGCAAGTCTTTGTCGTCAATCAAGAATACAGGTATACCTGGATTTTCATTGGACAAACAAATTTGTGCACATGATTTTGGAGGAGATTTCCGTGTACTTAAACAAATTCTGCACACTTGAACACAACACTGTGCAATTCTGTGAGCTTGGTCCTCTTTAGAAACACACGAGAAGGCCCTGTTTGTCACTTGCGCCGGAGCCTGCACTTACAGTGCTTACAGCTCAACTTCCGGATCTCCCATTTCAGTTTGATACCAATCTAATCTAGCACTCTGAGGCTTACTGCTCTTAACTCACTGTCTCCAAGAAGTCCTGCTTACATGTCCCACCGCGGATCCATAAGCTTCGTAACTGTAGGCTGGTGGATGGTGGACAGGGAAAGACGCACATTGGACGGGAAAGACGTGTAGAGGACGGCGTAGGTAAAGACTCGAGACGTGTATTGGATGGGTAAAGAATGGTGAAGAAGTGTATTTGACGGACATTTCCGGGTAGAACAAGTTGTCACCCGGAACATGGGACTTTTCTTTAACAACATAAATAAAGCCTTGGTGGTTTGACAAGCTCTAAATCTCTTGAGGGAGCAACGGGCGCCATTCCTTTGGGATTGACAAACCGATCGACCCCCGAAGGTGTTTCACTACTTCTGACATAGCAGCATGTTCCAATTTGTCACCGTATGACAGGCTTTGAAAGTGGGAAGATGCCACCCAATACAGTCAAAATGGCTACCATCAGAAAACGTTCCTTTTAAATTACTCTTGTGTATGTCTTCTGAACGATGTGTAGTGCACAGGAATTTCTGAATGCACCATATCTATTTGATCATTGGAGCTTGCAGGTACCCGTATGAGTTCGACTCGAGTTTGGGTGCAACGTATGTGTCTTGCTCTCTCAAAAGATCGCAAGACACAAAATTGGCATGAACCATGATGATTCCTTTGATCCGATCGTTGTTTCGTCACGTACTCGGGTCACTTCCACCGCCAAACAGCTCCCTGTTTTTTGTCCGGAGCTGTTTGGCGGTGGCCGGGAGAGGTGTCAGAAGTGGTCCCCTCAAGGCTCTGGGTGGATGCCGATTTGGAAGAGTGCTACGTCCTCGAAAGTGACGCGACCTACTCCTCCGGCTGGCCGAGATCTCGGCCAAGTTGACAACGAGATGGCACAGCTGTGGATTTGGCGTATGGTTGACTTACAGGTGGCACGGGCGCTTTGGATTTGCCGCCATAATAGCAAAACATGGACATGCAGTTGATTCCCAACTACAGTGACACATTGACATGTATGTTCAAGTATGTTCACATGTCAGTTTCAGTTTCTTCATTATCTTCATGTGTTCCGTTTCAGTCTTTACCGGCCACTGGTCGAAAACGGCTCAGCTCGCTGGTGCCCACCAACCAGCAACGTGCCAAGGCTGCTGCCCTCGGCAGGCGATCGCTTGCAGACCCCTTTCCAGGTGGCCGTGCTCGAGGCTTTGGAGCCGTTGGTTTCGTTTGGTTTCGTTGTGACAATCGCAACACAGCAACCGTGAAGTGATTGGCACTTGTGTGGTTGTTCTGAGCTGAGCTTTGCCCAGAGGGCCGCAGAAGGGGTTGGCGGGGCGCTGTTCGGCGCTTTGGAGCCAAACCTTGTGGGGAAGATTGGATGAGATACTTTGACCATCATTGACTTATATTGACCTTAGCGATAGAAAAAGAAAAAGGTTAGGATGTGGGATGCTATGTTTCCAGGCAGTCTATATAGTTGGTACATACTTCCTTTATGGTGGATGTGTTTTGTTGGTGGCGCAGGATTTTGAAGAACTGCATGTGAGGATGCATTGTTCTTGCAAAGGGGATGGAATATATGATGGTCTATGGAGGCTCCATTCAACTGTTCAATCCTCGTGTTCAGTTCAACAGTTCAACTGACATTGAACAAGGACAGCTCAACTGTTCTTGTTGAAGTAAATCGTATGCTACCTGGCTGTCAGGTGTGGGGCTGCGGCGGGCCAGAGGTGGGATTGACTGCGGTCGTCCCGGTGAAAGACTGGGGATGGATGGGCTGTGTCTCCATGCCCGGAACAGTCGATGAAAGGTGATCATGATATGGTTTGAAAGGCCTGCATCTGAACCATCCATCATCATCCACCTGGGCCCAAAGGAATGGATGGGGGAATGGGATATCGGATATACCCAAGGGATGGAATTCAACTGCGTATTCTTGGCATTGCTGCATCAGGGTGACCCTACGATCAGAGGATTGGCGTATGTTTCTTGGGTCGAGGGGACCGAGGGTCGGTGTGTTTCTGACACCAGAGAGCCTTTGTGTTGATTCGTGATGTCAAGACAAGCCCAAAGTGTGGTTCTGCAGTGATGAGAATACACCATCAACATCAAAGTATGTCAATGTACTCAACGTCATTCCTATCTCCAACTAATTCGTTAGATCGTGTCATGTTCAACCTCTAAAAAAACTTGGGATGATGATGGATGATGGATGATGTGTCACCTACTTACTCAATTGCTTTTCTGTGAGTTGAACACAGGTTGAAACCAACCAACCACCATCCACTTCGCTTCGCGCTTGCGCGCCCGCGTCTATAGGCCGCCCAGGCCCAACGGGCGCAGCGTGAGCGGGTGGATGGGGCCTGGAGACCCGGTGGATACCGATGGAAACACAGAGACTGGAGGATTGCCACAATGGTGTTTGATGCTGTGTTTCACTGTTTTTTGGTTCTTCATGTGTTTATGATTCAAAACAAAAGGAGTTTGAGGAGGTTTGCCACAATTTGCAACCATCACCACATGTCGACAGTATTGGTTGCTGCAAGGAGGATCGTGATGATCATGTGTGTTGCTTCACGAGATCATTTCGACAGGTCCTGCATTTGTTGGAACCATAGCTTCCCAACGTCTTGTGTGCTTCGAACCAAACGACCTGACCAAACGGGCAAACGAACGGACGGGGCCAGCATGGCAGCTGGAACTTGGCTCAGGTGCGCGAACAAGCACGCAAGGCCAGAAGGGTCATGAAGGGTAAGATGTGGAGGTTCCCCAGTTGTTAAGAGAGTTCTCTTTTTGTTCATTTTGTTTCGTAAAGTCTTCCGATGTTCGGGGCTTTAACAAAAATGCTGCAAGGGCGCCTTGACCGAAGTAGATGAGTTATATATCTTGGTTTACAAGTTTGAGGATCATATGAGGTACTTGTATGACCAAATTTGATGGACATATTCGCTCGGTTGGGTATTGGTTTGGGATCGTTTAAGATCAAAATTCATTGCAAAACAATAATTTGCACCACACAATATAGCGTGTTTTAACATGCTTTGCTTGATTGGACTTGGAATCAAGTCACGCCTTTAGTTTATCAACATGCCATGTGGCTCCAAACCTGGAGCAGGATGGGCTGCAGTGCAATGACATATATCACATTATATTACTCACATCTTTCCATGAAGGGTCGTCAAGGTTTTGTGGTTGCCTTAGATTGGCACGGGCTTTTCAGCAAGAGCCCTGGCTTTTGGAGGGCCATGCCTGGCTTTGTGGTGTTACTGAGCGGGGGTTGACTCAAGATGGTGAGGCTCAGGTGATTGATTGGTTGGTTGATCCTTTGCTTAGACATGGTTGGTTGGTTTGGTGTGACCCGTGCTTGCATCATTCTATCTTTGAACCCAGTTGTATGAAAGGAGCAAGTAATTAGGGCAGACTCTTGGCTGAAACAGAGAGAGTGGCAGAGCATTCTCGGCATTCTCTAAGCGTGCGCTGTGCCCAGAGGCTCGTACCAAGCACTTTACAAGAAAAACGCCTAAGCTAGTTAGCTGTACTTTTGCTGCTTCTTGGGTTGTTGTCAGCACTCAGGGGGAGAAGGAGGTTCTAAACAATGCCGGGCGCCCCCCCGGCTTTTTCACAAAAGAACAACTTGTTACTCTTGGATCTCCTTGGTCTTCGTTTCTTGTTCCTAGTGTTGTTGGATGTTGTTGGTGTTGCTGCTGCTAGTGGTTTTGTATTGGTGGTGCTGCTGATGCTGCTGGCTGCTGCTGAAGGTGTTGTTGTGGTTGTTTTAACAAGGGGATGTTGGTTCCTTTTCATCTTACTGACGCAAGACTCTTCTCACCAAAAAGATGTAGACAAAAAAGCACCGACCCACAACTTTCCGGACGTCCATCGAATGATGCAGGTCGACAAAGCAAGACTTTGCGACAATGAGTTCGACAAAGAAATGCAACCCTCTCAGTCAACATGGTTTGTCAAGACCCAGTAATTAATTGGTATGTTGTATTACAAATTGATGCAAATTGTTTTCACTGGACCTATCGAGTTGGTCAGAATCTTGGTCACCATCAATGTGTCGTGGAAAGGAGAAGAATCAAATAACATTTTGACTGATACAAGGGTGTTTGCTTGATCAGAGAGTGGCAACACGTCCTGTATTTTTTTGTTTCGCACTTCTTCCAAGCACAAACCTGAGTCCTGAGAGAGGGAAATTGCACCAGAATGTTGGACAGTTCTGTCGACATGCAACTGCTCTTCTTGATTTTGATGACCTTTAGGCCCACAGAGTATTGCACTAACAGATGTGATCTTTTTATTTAGTGTATGTTCACTGCATCACCCACCAAACTCAGGTTGTTGGCCAACACCTTCTCGGCAACGGCCGCCTCGCGCGAAGACCCAAAGCAGGCGCGGGCCAACGGGCTAGGATTGCACATTTCTGGTACGCAACCCCATAGGTGCTGGAGTTTCACAGTGAAAAATCCAAGTGCCTTGACACAATGGTGATCGGTAGCCCGTAGCTGATTTGTTGGAGTATTGGTTCAATTATATTAACATCTATCGTATGGTCGCTGGTGAGACCACCCATGACAATTTGGGACGGTTGCCCTAGGAGCTTGTCGTTTGTGGAGGCAAGAACCGACTCTTTGGGTTTCCAAGTCCGAACAACACCTTGCCGAACCAGATCGTGTTTAAGTCCCGAACCAGTGCAACCATGTCTCTACTCCTGACTCATTTGGTACTCAGTACTCTTTAAATTTGAAAGTGAATCCCCTTCAAACATTCGTTGAAATACATTCCATGCTAGAGAACGTCTATTTCATGAACTCAAGTGTTGTGTTGTTCCAGATCAAATGTGATAACGATCGATGACTGACTGTGCACCTTTCGTCACGTAAAATGATCACGGCCCACGGCTGTTGACTATGCTTTTGCACCAATGATGTCAAATTAGTTATAAAATATGTCAATATGATATGAATTATATATTTATTATTGTTTGTGTGCATTGTCACTACAGACTCAGAATCACTTAAAGTCAAGTTGTTGTCAGACCTCTCATAGGGTCTTGGTCTTTGTCGCTCAGGCTGTAAACAGATCACCCCCCCCAAAAAAAAAAGGAAGCGGCGACAATTTGTCTTCAGCCTGCCAACGCCGCCAGGTCGAAGGATCCAAGACAGATGGGTAGCAGAGGTTTGGTTTGGCAGATGGGCATCCTTCCTTATCTTCCATGACAACGAGGAGGATTAGCTTTTTTCGGTTCCATTGCTTTTTTTGGGGGGGCAGTTTTAACTTTAACATGCATATACACATTCGACCCGGTGTTGCCACAAAAGGTTTGGCCAACAAGCTCAACTGGTTTAACAAAACGTTATGCATTCGACCCGGTTTGCAACCTAAAGAACCGCCACCGCCACCCGATTGCCAAACCCTGCCTCTCTCGACGGCCAAAGACTGCCGTGACATGTTGGCGACCGAAAGATCGATTGAAAAGAGCTGGTCGGATCGGTGTGAGGAAAAACTATGCTGGTCGTTTCGGCAAATGGTGAGAGCTTTTGATGCGTTTGGTGCAAGTTGACCAGATGTGTACTATAGCTAATTAAGGATAAATAGTACGCAATTACTTGTAGTGCAGGCAGGCAACGAAGTATTCCTTGTCTTGACTGAACATAATAAGGACAGTGATGAGTCACAAGTCCCTTGAGAATGCGTCGATTCCAATTCAATGTGTTAGACTTCCAATGTTCATTGTGAGTTGGACACCGCAGGGTTGAGGATCACTTTCGGGCCTGGCGCCCCGTGGGTCCTTTTGCGCCCGGTTCGGCCGGGGGTGGCCGGGTTCGCGCGGACCCGGTGCCATGGGCCGTGTGGGCCTCGGATGTGGGAGCTGGCAGATACCAATGAAGGTAATTCAATATCTCAGGAGCCCAAGTTGGGGCGATAGAGTCCGATAGAGTTGGCCTTGTGACCTTTCCGGCATGGATCGTGTTGACCTTTCCATTCGCGGCACCGCATGGATGTCTCGCGGTGTCTCCAAGGGCGGTGGTGCATGTGGCGATGTCTCGCGGCACTGCTTTGTTTCAGGTCGATGTCTCAGGGGCCGAGCGACACGGAGTGCTTTGAACATGATCGTTCTGCTGCATGAAGCACTCAAGGGTTCGTGAATCATTTTTTCAGACAATCAATACATTAAACTTTAAGCTACTTTAAGATCATGTGAATCATGTGTTTGTTCATCTATGATGCATAGATATGACCACAGGGAGCCTTGTTCACTTGGTGTGATTGAGAGGCGTTCTTTTTGTCGATGTGTGGTCCCTGTTCCACCAGCTGATAAAGACAATGGGTTTTGGCCAACAGTCGTCGTCATGCAACATTCTGCAAGACAGGAGCATGATGTTTGGTAGTTTAGGGGGCGGCACGTTTCCCTTGCAGAGATATATCGACAACAAAGCAAGATGGCCTAAACCAGGTGGTCAAACTGATTGGATTCCTGCATTGCTGGTTGGCCTTAGAATTAACATTTGAATCCAGGAAACACATGTGGCCGCTGCTGTAATGATTGGCAGGCTGACGGTAAGTGCTTTATGAAGGTTGTTGATGTGTTTTTTCACAACACCCTTGGGAACAGTGGTGACATGAGTGCGACAGGGCAAGTATGGAAACAAGTTGATTGACAAGTTTTATTGGAATTGCAGCAAAAGCCCAAAATGCAAGACAGCGATCAATCAAAAATAATCTAGAAAAAATTGGTGAAACCTTTGTTTTGCACATATGACAAATCCATCCCACCAATGCCTCCACTGTCTCCTCATTAGAAGCCTTGCACCTCAATAGTTTCGCCTTCTTTCGGCCCTTTTGCCAAGCTTGCCAGGTGTACAGAAGCTCAGATCTACTCATTTGAGAAGGCACCCAAGCAGCTCAGCTAGGGGAGCTACACATTGCATGAACGGATTCACAGTTGTTAGGAGAACCACACAATTATTTGGTGCATGTGAAGTGCCGCGCTTGGCTCTATCCCAGTGAGCCATCAGCCAAACGGCCATACCGGGGCCATATTATATAGAAAAAGCATCGTCAAGGGATGTCAAGGGATCGTTCTACAAGGCCTAGAGCCGTGTCAAACAGATTGCATGTGTTTTTTTGCAATGACCCAAACAGGTATGAAAGGCAAGGTGTTCCACTTTCCACAAGGAGGCGGCCTTGGCCGCCACGCCTTCGTACGCCCCACGATCGCCAGATGGCCTTGCCTGACGCACGGTCGCTGCATACCTTGTATGCCTTCTATGCCTCACGGCCAAGTTCGGGGTCTACGGCGAGCCGTAGTTGGCCAGTACGCCTCGGTGCACTCGGTAGTGGCAGTCTAGTATAGTAAAAATATTAGTTGGGTCCAAGGAGGTGTCCCCCTTCTGTTTTGGTGGCGTTTTAGCAAGACAGACTACTCCACAGCAAGACCTGACAGGTGCAGGTAGTTATGGCCGTCGTGTTTGCATCCGTCGGGGATCTATGATCTAGGGGTGGTCAACGATTCCTAAAACAGGTGCTGAAGCAAGCTGTAATTCAATCATACAACTTAACTGCAATCATTTGGATCTTTTTGGATGGTTGAAAGTGCACGAATGGGGGTCGCCATCTTGCGAATGGGGGTTCGAAAAAACGCAATGACCTGAGATGAAGCCACGAGGTCTATTCGCACCAAGACGCTCCAGAGAGGACTGGCTGGTCCGGCTGGTGTGGCTGGTGTGGCTGTCCGATGGGGCTTTAAAGCGCTTGTGTGGCGATTCATCCGTTTGACATGGGATGACATGGTCATGGCTGATGTTTGCCGAGGATGGTACTGTATTTCTTGAAGGCAGTCCATCCCTAAAATGCCGTAGTAGACCAGAGGAAACTGGTGCCCGAAACTGCAGTTCCTTCTCAGCCCTGACCATGATGACCCAAGTCATCAAATGAGGAACCTAGCTATACCAATCGATATCGCAACTATGAACAACCCATTTGACTTGACAGGCACCACGGGGCATATTGTTTGCTGAGAGGCTGTCAGGAAAAAATGTGGAGATAGAGTCTGCAGAGAGAGAGAGAGAGGGAGACAAAAAAACCGTGACCCGTGCTTGCCTTTCCAGAGTCAGTCACCCTGGTTCATTCATTGAACTGAATTGAACTGCTTGAATGGCTTCAGCTGCTTGAATGGCTTCAGAACAAAAAGGCCTGCATCAACATCCGGAATCAAGATGACAGGTGATTCACGCATACGGAATCATACGGAATCAAGATGATGTTTTGTTTTTTTTCAGGATTCGAGGATCATGTGCTGTTTCCAGTGTGGTTGATCCATGCCTTTTGCCCACGAGAAACTCATCAAATCCTCCTTCCATGGATTCAGCATTCTTCCTGCGCTGCACAACCATCCTAGGACGCTTGGGCAACCATTTGTGCAGTTTCACAACTTGATGCCTGCGACCAAGACCGCGAGACCATCCGCTGGCAGCCCTGGGCTGGCATCGGTGAGAAAATTTGGATCACCCAAATGGGTTCCAAATTGGAGCTCAAAAATCTTTGGTGATGATACAACCCTCGTGAGACGAGTTCGAGCCTAGGGCCTAGTTTGTACTGCGCGGTGGCCATTTCGGTCTGATTGGAGAAATTGCAACAGTTCTCGTTTTGATTCGCTGCGTCACCTGAGGTTTACAGCTAATAACCCTGCAGACAGCGAGAAGGCGAAGAACTACGGCGCTGGGGCCTCAGAGGATGACCAAACCTCAGAGGGTGGGATGGGACGAGGGCCTCAGAGAAGTCGAAAGAGCTGAAGATAGATTCCCAAACTAAAAGATCCATAAAGATCCACAAAGCACTGTTCACCTCAGAATCCCATTTTGTGCACCCCCAAAAAAAGGACCGCGCCTGCGCACCTCCGCGCCGCCGAGGGCATCCAGCTCAGCATCCTCCCATACCGCAGCTTTTGGACTCTCATCCAGCCGCCCGGGACGCCCGGACCGCGGACGTCGTGCGTGGTCGGTGTCCGGGCCCACGACTACCGGGACCCGCGGCGACGACGACAGGACCAGCTGAAACCGATCGCTGAAACCGCGATTTGAAAGATTCGATTTGAGAAAAAGTGTCCCTCTGGGTTGTGCAGCAAAGAAACAGAAGTCCTGCTAAGAAGGGTTCGTCCACCATACTGTAAGATGTTGCGGAGTTTTTGACCATTGACCATGACATGTTTTGGCCACGGTTGGCTGATTTACTGTCCCGTAGATGTAACAAGTGTAATTCAAAAGATTGACCGTGTTTGCTTGTGGTGGTGTTGATTGGTGATATTATCATGCCGAGGAGATGCAGCATGGAGTTGCTGGGCGATGCGTGACCTAATTTACCATGTCATTAAACATCTTGGGATTGGTAATACTATATACAATATTGCATGAAATCATATGACATCTAGACAAGTTATTCTTTTCCCACGGTCTCAAGAAGGCGGACCCCGATTTTAACAACATATTTCATGCTATACATGTTCCATTGCTTTTGCTTTGACATTGTGAAGCAGAAATCCTTAAACCTCTCTTCCCCCTTTCTCGCCACCGCTTCTCCACCGCATCTCGCATTTTCGCCGCCGCATTCGGTCGCCAGCGAAGGGACAAGTTCTGCTCCTCGCGCGAAGATGCCTGCGGTCCCAGCGGCGGGAACGAAGCCGACGGGATCACTGCGATCCCGGAGGTGTTTGGGGTGTTTTTTTTGGGGGGTTGGACCACTTGTTGATGGTACCTGACTGTCACACCACCGCCCAGCTGACTCACAAGACGACTCGGACGGACCTGGTAGGACGTCCGGATTCCAGTCTTAGACTCTGATACAGAGATCAAGCTCTGGGGGAGCTCGGGCCCGGCGCCGGGAATCCTGAACAAGTTCAGTTCCTTTGGAATCCTCGTCAGACCATCTGGGTCGACCATCTGCGTCAGAGCGGGAATGGGTCTGAAAGAGTGAATTGGTATACTTTGGTTCTTTTCTGGGTCAAAGATATTCAGCGGTTCTTCCCCTCATCCTGTGACCAAATCGGCGCAGGTCGCGCAGGGGATAGCAAAGGAAGACGGCAAGCTGCAGCTTCGGCTTGTTTGAAGCTTCGGCTTAGGTGGAAACGACCTTTGTGGTTGGTTTGGTCAATTTGGGTGCAATCGGCGAGTGGCCGCTTCATTTCTGGGTGGTGCGATGTGGATTGGCTCACAGACC